CCGTCTGCAGGAAAGTAACTTACTGGTCACCTCATTCTAAAGCGGACTCGGACTGTCTGAAACAACCGAAACCGTACTGCGCCAGCACACTTTGGTCACATCCCTGAATGGTGGTCTTCAAATCCTGTGCCCCAAGCTTGTATATGTAAGCGTGCCGACGAGAGTAATACATCTCTTGGCAAATTTGAAGTGCTTCTGGGGGAGAATGAATCAATGTCGGCATGTGTGTTTGACCCATGGGGCAAGTAGTACAATCCGGGTGCAAGCAGTTGTGACAGAGAGGGTTTGAATGAGACCATGAGGGATTGAATAGGGAGACACAGTGGATTTGATAGGTAGTTGGTAAGCCGGAGTTTATCATATCGCGCAGGTGTCAGACGTGGTTATCCAGAGTAATATCCCAAAATCCAACTTGCGAATTGCGTTGTGATTGTACTGGTTACACCTCTACCTTGCAGGAAGCGTTCTAGCCCTGAGCATCTGACTTTGATATCATTCTCAGAAGCCGTCAAGACCACAAGCAAAGAGGTGCAACATAATTGAACTGTTTGTGAACTTCATTTCACCTTTATGAAACCACGCCGTGTTGTGCTCGCAACCCACGTAACGTTTACCACAGGAGCACGAGCATTGTACGGGTCAATGGTTTGTTATAATAAACACTTATAAATAGGAACGCTAGAAAATGTTTTTTATTATCATCCTTCAAGAGTCAAGGTAAGATATCAACGGCAGGTTCTTCCTTAGATGTTAAATGTATGTTAAGCGCTTTCTTGGGAACAGTGCTCCGAGGTGGCTGTTGTTTCCGTCCCATCGAATTTGTCAGGATAACCATTTTCCCTCAGCGCGTCGCTGATTTTCTGTAGTTTCTGATTGGCAGTACCCGGTGTGCAAATACTGCAAGCCCGGAAGGCGAGATATTGGTTCAAACTCCTTTTACGCTGTAAATATAATGTATTGAAAGTTTGTGTACTGCCCAGTTAATATATGCTCTCTGTGTGCCTTTCTGCTGCACCATTCGTCCGAGTTGCATATAATCGTTTTTCGAACTCTTGTTCACAGGCGAGATAGGTATTGTTATACGCGTTCATACGGCCGACACTGCTACCGTGACCAACAGACACTGTTACATAGCTATCCACTTGGTACCTGAGTTATTTGATTCGGGCTATTGAAGTTTGTGTATTAAGTTTCATTTAGTTCACTTGGCCTATCATCTATAATCCAGTCTTGAATACTGAATACGGAATACTGAAAGTAGAGAGCAAGAAGATAAAAATTTGTGTTACTCCATCGTAGGTGGATCGGGCACACGCGCGGAACCACGTCGCTTATTTTTGTGCGATGACAGCATATCGCATCTGCACTACATCTTATCTGGTTGCTAGGCGCCCTATACCTACAGTCCGCAAAGTGGACTTCAAGGTCTCTCTTAAATTCCGACACCGTTTTCGCTCGACTAGCTTCTCCGGCAATTGGTTTCAATATTTCACCACGACGCTCAAAGTATAGAATGTGAGCAGTGCGCTTTAAATCAGATACCATTAGTTTGTACCGGTGTTCGCGTGTGCTGCTTGGTGCGCGAACGTGCAGCAGCAGCCTCAATATAGGGAAGTGGACCAGGTGCAGTATCCGGTGCGTCATAATGAGATCAACTCGAAGTCGACACTACGACAGGGTACACAGCCCTAGTCTCGCACATCGGTCCTCCTACGACATACCCCGTAATCTGGGGGTGAGCCGGGTAGCTATATGCTGCAAACATTCCAGTCTCTGCATCTCACTTATTGTGATCGGACAATAGGCGGGTGAGTCGTACTCAAGCACCGGTCTTATTATAGAAGAGAACAGACGGGTGGCAATCCGTTCAGACCAAGTACAGAAGCTTCTTCTAACTGTCAAAAGCAGGCGTAGTTCGTTTGCGTACAGTCTGTTCGTGTTGTCGACAGACTCCAAATAACAACGTGAGAGTACGCCTAGATCTTTTACGGAACTGGTGGGATGCAGCGGATGACCGGCCAGGGTTTACGCACGCCCAATACTACTTTTGCTCAGGCTCATGAACGAGGACTTCTGCAGACCATCGAGATAGGCGGTCGAGGTCCTGCTGAAGGACATCACAGTAACCGGAAGAATCGATAACCTTCCAAATCTTCAGGTTGTCTGCAAATCATGCGCAGGGCGACCAAAGAAGCTGAGGTGTTTCGATGTGAATCAGGAACAAAATGGGCCCCAGTACTGTGACTTGGGGTACGCCGCTAGTGGACGGGTACCATTCCGTTAGGCGGTCATCCACCCGAATCCGCCATCTTCTCCCAATAAGGAACGCACTGAGCCACTGGTGCAGTGCGTTACCAACAGCACATGTCTTCAGCTTGTGAAGCAGGACCTCATGGTTCACTTTCTCGAAAGTTTTGCTGAAATCAATATGGATAACATCCACTGACTTCCACCGATTCAACGCTTGCTACCATTCCTGCCACTCCAACAGTAGGTTGGTGATGCACCAGTGGCCCTTCATGAAGCCGTGCTGTGCCAGCGTTAGGAAAGCTTTCGACTCCAGCAGCTGGAAGAGACTCTTTTTCCCAATCTTCTCGAGCACCTTCGCCTAAAGAGAAGTGAGACAAATCGGCCGCTAACTGTTCATATTGTGTGGATCACCATCCTTTGGAATCGGTTTCACTACTGAGTATCTCCAATCGTTCGGCAGTTCACCTTCAGACAGCGATCTGTTAAATAGATCCGTCACGGCAGTCAAGATGATGGCCGATAAGGACTTTAACATTAGCAGGTGGAATCCATCGGGTTCGGCAAGTTTTGTGCCATCAAGACTGGCGCGTAGAATGCGGAAATCTTCTACACCGCAATCGAGGCCATGGAGCTCAGTAGGGGCTACACACGTCGAGTTCGGCATAGGCATATGCCCACGCGTAAATACGGAAGCGAAGTGCTCCGCCAGTGCGGACGCACCTTCAGTGCTGGAGGTCGGCGCCTCCTAACACAATTATGTCACTTGCGGGGCTCTGGCGCCGCTTTACGTAAGCAAAAATCTTCTTGGGGGCCGTTTCCGCTGAGGTTGTAAGCTCCTCTTCTAACTGCCGACGCTCTCACGCTTTTGTGCTGTTGCATGGATTCCGCTGCCTTTTGTATGCCTCATAATCGTCTTCAGAGCCACACACAAGGAATTTATTCTACAATACGCGTCGCCGTCGAGCCAATTGACCATATTATCTGTCGAACAAATGTGGCTTTGTCGAACCAATGAGTAGATGACCTAGAGGTTCAAGCAACGTAGCAGTAAATTGCCGGCCCGATCTGATGCTTACCATATATAATCACTGCTGTGTAGGCGGTTGGGACTGATGAAATTTTGCAGAAAAGAATTCTTAACGCTACACTAATTTCTGCTCTTGTTGCTTTTTACTTATTTCCACAACACGCCGCATTGAACCTTCCGTCAAAAGAGTTGAGCCACTCTGGTGACCTACTACTGGGGTCCGGACTACTCTAGGATTTATTATCACCGGGAAAAGTTTTTAAGCTTCTCGGCTTACTGGTGTGGTATTCTTCAGAAGCTGCTTCGGTAGTCCTTCTGCCTATTAAACGAGTGATGCAAGTTCGTTTCACGTTGTCGTGCATTGCTCGGCACGATCTGAGTTGACACGTTGGAAGAGGGGAATGACACAACTGCTTTTTCCACTAATATTCCTGCTGTCAACGCCACTGATTATGCGGGTCCATACAAGATGTAGCTACATCCGTCTTATGTCCTTACTTTCCAACCTGGTTGGTTACCAAGACCTGAATAGTTCATGCGTCCATCGAATCACGCCATGGAGTTTCCTCCCGTGTACAGTCGTCGACGAGTTCAGTTTCTCTGGTGCTGCAAATATTCGCGGTTATCGCTTAACGCGTACACTGAGTTTTTGCCCGTCCAGTCCAAAGGAAATTCACGGCCGCAACCTTCTGAATTTGTACACCAATCATCCAGAAATATGTTATTTGACTACCTAATATTTTGTATTTCCATTGCCCGTTTGTCACCAACACGACAAGAGGTGTTGTGGTACACTTTTTAATATTCTCCTTAAAAGTGTGTAGCGTCTGGAAATTGCTAAGTAAGCAATTTGGCTCTCTTGCTTATCTCTTGCTTACCCTACTCACAAACTTCCAACATTAATCTACCATCGCCCCTTGGACATTTGAAGGACAGGTACTTCGGTCCATTGGGAAGTGACGTGTGAGTGAGCCAATCTGTAACATCAGGACAGGTACTGTGAGCCCATTGGCAATACGTCGCGCACCAAGCAGAAGTCATGTGTTAAAATTTGCGCACCTAATCGTCAGCCGTCGGTAGCTCAGGTGGTAGAGCAGCGGACCGGAAATTCGTGGACCGAGGTTCGAATCCCCGTCGAGGCATATTATTGTGCGTGAATTTTAATCGTGACTTCTACTTTCTACAAAATCTCCGATTGTTGTTACCGCATTTGTTCTAAATCTCTAAAATTAAACCCACTTCTTCGAATTTGTTTCCTCTTCCTGTTGTAGTCTGCTGCGCGCGTATTTATGTTGCTGGTTTCTCGTCTTCCCATAGTGGTTGCTGCTCGGAATTATCGGTAAAGTCAGGATACGTTATACCTTAGCACATACTTCTGATTACGATTTTAGCCAAGCTTGAAAATTAGCTGTGATCTGAATAGCCATTTTAATTGACGGAGCATCCTGCATTAAGCTATTTTTTTGTTAGCCATTACCCAACAAACCCATTTTCCTCCAAATTACTCCATCGTGAAAAGGAAATCGAATGTTAAAGCTGCGTCTTATTTCGACCCACCACCATCTATGGGGTCGACTAATTTCAGCTCGCCTGGCCTCCAGTCACCTGTTCATGTTCTGTAATGTCGTAACTGGTTTTTATCCTATTAAGACTCAACCATGTGTATTGCTTCCGTACACAGTACGGGGACATGCAGTGTGACTCACTCATTCCCTATTCACAGCATCCGAGTTGGCTACCCTTAACGCCGAGCTGAACAGGAGAGCGAGCAATCTGAAATGTGAACGCTCACGCGGTGAAGATTACGAAGAGGACGGTAAACTCAGTTGTGAGACCGGAATTCTGCAAAACGTCATCACCCACAGATCACTTTGGCCGATGGACAGTGATTGCAACGCAACACCCGTACCCGTGAACGCAAAATACGAACAGGAACAACCAGTCCCAAATAAAGGTTTTACGGACCGTGAGATTGCGCACTATACGTACCGGCCCAAACAGGGGGATGTTAGTAGTGCTAAAAGTCTCCAGACCTCGACAATGTCCGAACCGACAGATATTAGTGTGGTGAGTTTAATTGGGCTGATTGGATTGTTAACCGCGTGACCCATTGCTTGTCTGTACTTCACTGCATCGACCACATGTCGTTGATACATGGTCTTCCGTTAGTTTACAGTCTTAACCTCAACCTTGCTTTCGCTCACATGCCCAGGTATCAAATGCACTGCCCAGTTTCTTCTAATAACAGCGTCGTTGCTTCTAAGACCGGTAGTGCTGTGCCTGCCGAGATATCCTGCGTTTAGCATTTCAGTCTATATTTCCATACAACGGTAGAAGAAGAATAACTGAACCACAAAGTTTAGGTTATGTTGTAGAACTCAACAAATGTCTTCAGCATGCGTCACGGTGGCTGCTTGTGGAGCGCAACAAATCTAGTAATTTTATTGCGGTTTTCATCCCAGTAGTTCACAAACTACTGTGACTGTGGCAATCCACATACCTGGTGAGTATCGACCACGTTGTCTGTTGCCTGTAGATAGGTGTTCATTGACTCGGTTACATAACCATCCTAGTTGTGTTATCAGGTACCACCAGACGCGTACGCCTACAGAGGGACCATGGGTGGCTTGCGCTGCAACACACACAGCTCCAACCACAAACCCAATTTACAGTGTAAACTCGAAAGAATTACGCCAGGAGGCATGTGGATGGGAGCCAGGTTTCGTCAACGGAGCCGGCCCACACTCCTTCACAGGCAAATTCAAGCACGTTGTATGTGGGAATCAAGCGCGCACAAGTTGATGGCTGGACCGTAGTCCGTTCTACACTAAGTGAATTGAACCACACGTTGAGCCTAGCACGGCCACAAGGACCGTGCACCCCATTCCCTCAAGCAACGGCCAACTGTCTCCTGGAGCCAATATGGACGAGGTAGTCGGTAATAGACAGGTAGGCATCTTGTCAACATGCACATCCAACGCAGCCGCACCGGGGATGTCAAGCAACAGCCAAACACTTAAAACGACAATATCGAATAAAATAAATCGTATAATGCATGGAGATACGGAGACATAAGTCTTCACTAAATGAGCATATGAAATAAGTTGGTTACCAACAAATCCGCGATAAGTTCAAGACGTCAGAAACTATAATTTAGGAAAATTTCGCAAACGCGCAAATGTTATCCGAGTTAACTACTTTAAAGGACTTGCGCACTTTAACAGAAGATTATTGTGGTAGGTATTAAACTAAGGTAAAACAAAAGCATTAGGGTAATATAACAAACCCACCAGCTGAAACTAAGAGGCTCAGCAAGCACGCATGCGGTTAGTAAATCGAATGCAGTGTACCTAATAACGCTGCGCCGGTTCTGCTTACGCTCTTAGTAGCACCCGTCGTCTTTTAGGTGCTGACCGAGAGTGGCCTCCGTCACGGCTCACTAGGCCTGTCTGACTCAGGCACTCGCGACCATATGTGCTACAGCACCATAAGCTCGACTTCGATGGAGTACAACCCGTCGGCATCCCTCGCTTCCGTACTTGCCGCTTCTTCTCCGCATGCACGAGGACTTTCCCGTTCACCATGGCAACGGCTTTCGTGATTAGATCGCGCCATGCAAGCAGATCAAACACCTTTGGTTTCCATCACCTGAAATCCGCATTAGAACGTGAGAGACTTACCTTGATCATGTGCTGGTAACGTAGCTTCCGTTTCCCCACATTCCGCTTCCTCACACTCGGCTGACCATATAACAGCTGCCTCGGTATCCGCGTCGAATCCATACGAACACATGACCAAGCCACCTTAGGTGTCTCAACAAAAGTATGCAGTCCATAGCATACGTTACACTTCAGTGCAACACTTCCGTGTCTGTAACGGTCGCACCAACAAATGCGCAGAATCCGTCGCACATACTTTTGATGAAACCGCTCGGGATATCGCACATCTCGCCAGTACATCGTCTATGTTTCGGTGCACCATGGATTCGTACACCATCAGCTTCGTGCCAACGGTAACTTCATGGTTGTTCCACACTCGGTACTGTAGTTTCCGAATGCCGCTGCTGCCTTCGATACGCGGATACGAAGCTCACTGTCTATTTACTGGTCCGTCGAAATCACCCTCCCAATCTAGCAGGAGCGGGTGGTGTTTTCCAACAATTCAAAACCAGTTCTGATCCGCGACACCATTGCAGCTTGCATCTCCGTTGAAGGCTGAAAGAGACAGACAGTTTTACTTGTGTTGATGGTGAGCCCGAATTTGGCCACTGTCAAAGCCAGAGCACTAGTCATGTGCTGCAATTCATCCGCGCTATGTGCAAACAACGCACAGTCGTCAAGGAACAGCAACATACGAATAGTTCTCACAGGGTAGGGTTCTCACACCGAAGGTTCAGCTACCCACCATCAATACGGTGCTCCACACGAACATAGTAGGCAAAAGCCGCATCAAACGTACAATACATCACGACATGAAAATAGATAACAAACAATGCAGGAGCTAATACACAACCTTGGTTTACACCAGAGACAACTGCAAAGCCATCCGAGGTCTCTCCACTCAGCTGCACCCTCGCCCACACACCACTGTGCAGACATGCAATTAAAATTACAATACTACTCGCACAGCCACTTACCCAACACCAGCCACAATGCCTCGCGGTTCATTGTATCAAATGCCTTGATGAAGTCAGCAAACGGCTGGGGTCACTCTCCGCGCTTCTGCAACTGACGAGCGCAAGCGCCATAGCTATAATGCTGCGACCCGAACGGAATCCACGTTTCTCTTACGCCACGTTCGGTTCCACAACCTGACTGACGAGGCGGTTGAGCAGGATTCAGGCAATCACCCTGCCCACACAACTCAGCAAGTTGATACCACGATAATTCTTGCTTCCTTTGCCCTTGTACAGTGGCAACACTAGGACATCCTTCAGCTCAGGAGGCAACTCCTCCTCAATCCATACACGTTGCACCAAGTGCTGCAGCGCAGTCACCAACGCGGGTCCGCTGTGTTTCAATACTTCAGGCTGGATCCCGTCGGCATCGGCACACTTTCCGCTCGCAGCTGAGCAAACGCTGTCTGCATCTCATCCAGTGTCGGCGTTTCCGCCAGACTCATCTTCATCTTGTGCTGCTTGAGGCCGTTCAATTTAGGCCAGTCGATCTCTGAACGGTTGTTCAAGAGACATTCGAAGTGTTTCCGCCAGATCTGCATTATGTCTGCAGTCTGCGTGCAGGTAGCACCTGAACTACCATCGAGCAGCGTCCTCAGCGGCTACATCCGCTCCATACATCGCCTTTAAGGAGTTAATGAATGCCTTGTGTTGGTGGCGTTCGGCCTAGCACTCCATCTGTCTCGCTTTCTCCGTCCACTATACATTTTTATAAAACGGATTTCTCGTGTCACTCGCCGTCGAATTCTACAAAGCTGACTCTTCTTCTCCAAGTCAATGGAGTTTGCCACATTTGCAGCAAATTCTGCATTCTTCTGAGACAAGAAGGCGCCGTTAGTCGCCTTGTTATCGCAAACCAATCAGGTCACTTACATTTTGCGCGCCCGATGGTCTCTTCGGCAGCAGCTGTCACCTGGTCGCGAATGTAGTGCCACAGGTCGCCCAATGCGGCTATACATTCCACACTACGCAGGCGCACTGCCATCGTCTTCTCCAGCTCAATACGCTTCTCCACAGTACCGAGGGAGAAAATTCTCAATTTAGGCCGGTTCACGACAGGAGTGCAATACATAGATTTACGAACATATACCTACAGCTTAGTCGGCACCAAGTTATGATCAGTGCCACAATCAGCTCCAGGCCGTACACGTGTCATGCGCCCTTCACAAATGTCACGCTGACGTACGATGACAGTCGAGTAGGTGAACATGTCCACTCCGTGGGTGAGTCCAAGTCGCTATATAACTCGTACTGAGTGCAAATTGTGTGTTCGTCAGGCCGTGAGTGGCATACCGTGAGAGCAGCATGTCACCGTTCGCATTCGTTGAAGCACTGCCATGCAGACCGATGACATCTGTCCACACTGATACATCACGCCCAACGCGCTCGTTGAAATCATCCAGCAGAAATAGTCGGTCGCTCTTCGGCGCAGACCGTATTACGGAGGATGACTGCATATAGAACTGATCACGCTTGACATAAAGACAATTTACTAGTGGCAAATTTACCTCTTCCGAGTCGTAGGCGAATAGTCATCAGTCTCGCACTGTTGCCAGTTAGTTCGCCCAACAACTGGCCACTTAAGCGATCGGATATTGCAAATCCGACCCAATATTCACGCAGTGCTGAGGTGGCGTTGCCCACCCAGTAGAACGTATGGACAGCACCAGCTTCATGCAACTTACCTTGCTCAGCGAGACGGGTCTCGCTGAGCGTAGCAATATCGATGGGTTAGAGGGCCAATTCCATGGCGAGTAGTGCAATGCGTCGCTCGGGACGCTCACTCGAGTTCCGGTCCAGTAGTGTGCACACTTTCCGGCACCTGAGGTTGAGTGCTGTGCACCGAGGCATACGAGAGATTGGCGGGTAACCGTTTGGGAGGTGACTTCCTGGATTGGAGGAATTATATATATATACATATATATATATATATATATATGGTTGACGGCATCCGGTTTCGGATTTGCCTGTCACTGTGGCTAGCCACAGGACGCCTGCGCCTACAGAGGGACCATGGATGGCTTGCGCTGCACCACCCACAGCTCCAACCACACACCCCATATCCAGTGTAAACCCGAAGGAATAAGACCGGGAGGCATGCGGATGGGAGCCACGTTTCATCAACGGAGCCGGCCCACACTCCTTCACAGGCAAACACAAGCACGCTGTATTTTGGGAATCAAGCGCACACAAGGCGGTGGCTGGACCGTAGTCCGCTCCACACTGAGTGCATGGAACCACTCTTCGAGCCTAACACGGCCACAAGGACCGTGCACCCCGTCCCCTCCAGCAACGACCAACTGTCTCCTGGAGCCAGTATGGACGACGTAGTGGGTAATAGACAGGTAGGCACCTTGTCAACATGCACATCACGCGCAGCCACACCAGGGATATCAAACAACAGCCAATCACTTGAGAGAGAGAGAAAGAAAAAGAGAAAAGAAAAAGAGAAAAACTCGATTAATGCATAAGGAAACGGTGATATAAACCTTAATTAAATAGCATATGTAATAAGTTGATTACAAACAAATCCTAGCTAAGTGCACGAGGTCAGGAAGTATAGTTCACGGTATGCCACGAACACAAAAATGTTATGGAAATCGAATACAAGTGGCTTAGGCGATGTGTGCAAGTTAATGGAATAGAGTACAGGGAGATAATTATATGAGCAAAAAAAGCATTACGGTAAAAACTGTCAACCCACCACCTGAAATAAAGAGACTTAGCATGCAAGCACGCGGTTAGTAAATCAAATTCAGCGTGCCTACAAACGCTGCGCCGGCTCGTCGTAATTCTCTGCAGGACCCGTCGTCGCTTCTGTAGTGGCCCCAAATGGCACAGCGCATGGCCCACTAGACATTTATATGAGAAAGAAAGGAATTAAGAGAGAACCGAAAACCCACCACCTGGAATAAAGAGACTTAGCATGCAAGCACGCGGTTAGTAAACCGAATTCAGCGTGCCTACAAACGCTGCGCCGTTGCTGCCTACGTTCACTGCGGGACCCGTCGTCGCTTCGGCAGTGGTCCCGAGTGACCTCTCTCATGGCTCACTAGGCCTGCCTGACTAAGGCACTCGCGACCGCATGTTCTACAGCACCTTGCGCTGGATGTCGATGGAGTACAATTCAATGGTGCTTGCAGCTTCCGCACTTGCCGCTTCTTCTCTGCATGCATGAGGTCTTTCTCCCGCACTTCAGCAACTGCCTTCGTGATTAGATCGCGCCATGCACCACGATCAACCGCCTTCGATTCCCATGATATGCAATCAAGATTAGAACGTGTGAGGCTCACTTTAATCATGTCCTGGTAACGTAACTTTGGTTTCCCAGCATACCGCTTCCCAATACTCAGCTGACCGTATAAGAGTTGTTTCGGTATCCGCGCTGAATCCATACGGCTCACATGACCGAGCCATTTCAGGTGTCGCAGTAAAAGTATGCCATCCACTGCATACATCCCACTTCGGCGCAACACTTCCGTGTCTGCAACTCTGGCGCCCCAGCCGATCCGCAGAATTCGTCGCAGACACTGCTGATGGAACCGCTCGAGATATCGCACATCCCGACGGTACATCGTCCACGTTTCACTGCCGTATAGAAGAACGGACAGTACCATGGATTTGTACACCATCAGCTTCGTGCCAATGCTAAGCTGATGGTTGTTCCACACTCGGTACTCAAGCTTCCCGAATGCCGCTGCCGCCTTCGACACGCGAATACGCAACTCAACGTGTAGCTGCTGATCAGTCGACATCACACTCCCAAGGTAGCAGAAGCGGGAGGTGGTTACCAATACTTCAGCACCAATGCTGATTTGCGGCAATATTGAAGATTGCACCTCCGTTGAAGGCTGAAAGAGACAGACAATTTTGCTTGTGTTGATGGTGAGCCCGAATTTGGCCGCTGTCGAAGCCAGAGCACTAGTCATGTGCTGCAACTCATCCGCGTTGTGTGAAAACAACGCACAGTCGTCAGCAAACAGCAAAATACGGATAGTTGTCTCACAGACTAGAGTTCTCGCACCGAAACGACGGATGTTCAGCAACCCACCATCAATACGGTGCTCCACACGAACACCGTAAGCACAAGCCGCATCTAAAGCACAAGACAACATTGCATGAAGATATATATTAAACTGGGCAGGAGCTAACACACAGCCTTGCTTCACACCAGAGACAACTGCAAAGTCATCCGAGGTCTCTCCACTCAGCTGCACCCTCGCTCGCATACCACTGTGCAGACATTCAATTAAACTTACAAACTTACGCGGGCAACCAAACTTACCCAACACCAGCCACAGTGCCTCGCGGTTCACCGTATCAAATGCCTTGGTGAAATCAACAAAAGGCGAGTACAATGGCTGGTGTCGTTCTCTGCACTTCTCTTGCAACTGACGAGCCGCAAACACCATATCTATAGTGCTGCGACCCGAACGGAATCCACATGGCTCTTCCGCCACGTTAGGTTCCACAATCTGACTCACGAGGCGATTGAGCAGGATTCGGGCAATCACCTTGCCCACACAACTCAGCAAGTTGATGCCACGATAATTCGTGCAACATTGCTTGCTACCTTTGCCCTTGTACAGTGGTAGCACAAGGGCGTCCTTCAGCTCAAGAGGCACCTCCTCCTCAATCCACACGCGTTGCACCAAGTGGTGCAGCGCAGTCACCAACGCGGGTCCACCGTGTTTCAATACTTCAGGTGGGATCCCGTCACCTCCGGCACATTTGCCGCTTCGCAGCTGAGAAAGTGCTCTCTGCGTCTCATCCATTGTCGGCGTATCCGCCAGATCCGCCTTCACATCGTGCTGCTTCAGGCCATTCAATGTAGGCCAGTCGATCTCTGAACGGTTGTTCAAGAGACACTCAAAGTGTTTCCGCCAGACCTGCATTATGTCTGCAGTCTGGGTGCAGGTAGCGCCTGAACTACCATCGATCAGTGTCCTCAGCGGCTCCAATCCCGATCCATACACCGCCTTCAAGGAGTCAAAGAATTCCTTGTTTTGACGGCGTTCGGCGTAGCATTCCATCTGCTTCGCCTTCCCCATCCACCATGCATTTTTAATGCGACGGAGCTCTCGGGTCAGTCGCCGTCGAAGTTTGCGAAACTGACTCTTCTTCCCCAAGTCACTGGGGTCTGCAACATGTGCAGCAAATGCTGCATTCTTCTCTGACACCAATGCGTCAATCGTCACATTGTTGTCATCAAACCAATCAGGCCGCTTACAGTTTGCGCGCCCGATGGTCTCCTCCGCAGCAGCTGTCACCTGGTCGCGAATGTGGTGCCACAGGTCGCCCACTGTGGCTATACAGTCCACATCACCACACAGGCGTGCAGCCATCGCCTTCTCCAGCTCAGTCCGTTTCGCCACAGTACCTAGGGAGAGAATGTTAAATTTACGCCGATTCACGGCGGGAGTATAATACATCGATTAACGAAAATAAATGTACAGTTTGGTCCTCACCAATTTGTGATCAGTGCCACACTCAGCTCCACGCAGTACACGTGTCATGCGCACTTCACGCATATCACGCTGACGTACGATGACATAGTCGAGCAGGTGAGCGTGACCACTCCGTGGGTGCGTCCAAGTTGCCATATCACTCGCACTCAGTGCAAACCGAGTGTTCGTGATCGTCAGGCCGTGAGTGGCACACAGTGAGAGCAGCCTGTCACCGTTCGCATTCGCTGAACCAATGCCATGCGCACCGATAACATCTGTCCACGCTGATGCATCACGCCCAACGCGCGCGTTGAAATCACCCAGCAGAAATAGTCGGTCGTTCCTTGTCACAGACCGTATCACGGAGGATAGCTCAGTGTAGAACTGATCACGCGTGTCATCAGGATAACACATGGTCGGACCGTACGTGCTTATGAAGGTAGCAAACTTACCTCTTCCGAGTCGTAGGCGAACAGTCATCAGCCGCGCGCTGATGCCCGTTGGTTCACCAACAAGCTGGCCATGGAAGCGGTCGGATATTGCAAATCCGACCCCATGTTCACGTGGTGCTGAGGTGGCGTTCCTTACCCAGTAGAATGTGTAGCCAGCACCTGCTTCATGTAACTTACCTTGCTCAGCGAGCTGAGTTTCACTGAGCGCCGCAATATCGATGTGGTAGCGCGCCAGCTCCATTGCGACCAGTGCAGTGCGTCGCTCCGGGCGCCCGCTGGAGTTCCGGTCCAGTAGTGTGCGCACGTTCCAGCACCCGATGCTGAGTGATTTGCGCGCAGGCATACGATTGCATTGGTGGGCAATCGCACGCAACGTGGTCGTTGTGCTTCGGAGGTTTGCTTGAGGGACTCCACCCGGAGCCTTTGGCTCAATAGCCTGACCCACAAGGCAGTGGGTGGTTTGGAGGTTTGCTTGAGGGACTCCGCCCGGAGCCTTTGGCTCAATAGCCTGACCCACAAGGCAGTGGAGAGCAGATCCAGCTCGGGAATGTGATTGCAGAGACAGATGGGGATCTGCTTGACGGCCGTCACACGCAGCCTTTGAGGTTCTGGAACAATTATCATATGTTTTGCGACCGTAATTGGATACGCACCTGCGACCACGGCCAGACGCAGGTGGGTTTTTGGCGGGTTTGCACCAATTTGACCAGGGGCTGCCTGGCTTGAGGCAGGCAGTAGCAAACCATTGAACACCCGGAGGTGTCCTCCCACCGTCAGAGACAATGCGTGGCACTCGTGCTCTACGCCAATCGAGCATTGAGAATATCACCCGTAACCTGTTGTCTCCCATGGCTAGGTTTTACGGGAAGTGGGCCATCGACCACTTCCTAACCTCCGGAGAGGATGGACTAGGATACTGCCAGGGCGCCCAATGCTGACAGGAGAACGACTCGGGTCCTCAGCCAAAGCCTTCGATTAAATGAACACCCGAAAGGCAGCGGGTCTAGCACATGGTCAGTTAGCTGACTCATGCGGATTGGTGTCCTGGATCTTAGCAGGGAGAAGAGCGAAACCCAACTCCCACCCAGCGGTCGCCACGTGGAGGCGCCCAGGGCATGAGACTATGGCGCAGCAGTAGCAGCAGTGGGTAGACCATCTGTCAAGATCTAGCCACCACCAGCCTCAGCGCACCATAGGCTCTCCCGCCATATATATATATATATATATATATATAATATATACATATATATATACATATATATATATATATATATATGCCTTCTGAGTCGCTGCCTTCTTTCTGTTCAAGTCGGTTCTGTAAAAGTTTACTTACGATTTCATTTTCTGCAGTTGTCAGTTCTGAGCTAGATACCACATCGTTGTCAATGACGACGAACTGTTCTACATTGATGACTGGGATTGTGCAAGTGCCAATGTCCTCCTCAGCGATGACGGCATCATCACAAATTGCATCGGATGCCAGTCGACTGAAGCCAGCATGCCGAAAGAAAGCTTTTAATGTTGCACTGGCAACCTGTCTCCAACTTTTTGTAACGAACTTAATTGCATGGATCACAGAAATAGAGCTGACATCCACCTCCGACGATGAGCCAGATAAGACATTGTTTTCGATGTGCTAAAAAATTCCTTCACCGCTTTCTTTTCCTTAACGGATTTTCAGATTCATAATCACACTTTGGTCCATGGGTTTAAGAATGCTGGTCGTGTTTGCCGGCAAAAACTCCATTTGCATGCTTTTCAGACCTACCTCTGAATGAGCTGTGCAGTTATCCAGAAGCAACCTAATTTTTCAGCCGTTTTGGCCTAGCTCCTTGTCCCAATCGACGACCCACTCAGTAACAAGTGCTTTCGGTATCCACGGGAAGTGTGTCCACGTTCAAGCCATTAAAACATCGTGGTTTCGTAGCTTTTCCAATCAAAACCAGTTTTCTTTTTTCCGTGCCTATTTGCGCAGCACAGGAGAGTGATCCTATCCGTGGATTTTTTCGATCCGCTGAACTTGTCGGCAGAAAAACACTAAGAGCCTCGTGGAGTTGCTCGGTAAAAAAAAGACCTGTTTCGTCTTCATTGTACGCGTTGTCATCATCAAATGGAGTTAAAAGTTCAGGCGGTTTATTGTTCAACCAATTTTCACAGACTGCTCTGTTCGCGGAACTCTTTTCGCCGGGCGCACGTTTATACACAATTTGCCACCATCCTTCTGTGGCAGCAAAGGTTTTTCCAAGTCTTTTCCCGAATTCTTCTTTTTCCTCGGAAGTAGGCCTGTAACTGTTTGATGGTGCTCACGAACCGAGATCATCCAGTCTTTCACTGCAGTTTCTTCTTCATCCTTTCCACATCGCTTCTATTTCTGAGAGCTTGCAGTGCTGTGTGACAAATTCTGCCGGAGTTCTTTTTCGCTGGCAGTCAACTTGGCTAGGGTAGGACGAGAAATGTGTAAAGCACGCGGCAACTTCGCCTACCAAGTTGCTGGTGGATAGGTTTTAATTTTATGCAAAACCAACTTTGCTGTTAATGGAAAATCCTTTCTGTTACTGGCCATACTTGTATGTAACCAATAGAGTACTGATAAATATAGAGCGGAAAGATTACCTGATTTTGTTCAGTTATCGTGTTTTGAATAGGACCGAGGGTTTGCCCACAGCCGTCTGTACAGTTAGCTTGCTCGTGTATTGAATGACGTAGGTAACCTTTTCTGATCTGTCAATAACGCCACCGATATCTTTGTTGTTCTTGACTCGATCGGACTGATTAGCTGTGGGGTAATCGTAATAAAAGATAGAGTGAGGGCGTAAACTTGACAAAGCGACAAGAGCGTAGCCCACGCAGCTGGGCAATTAAGCGGTAGGATGACCCCCACAATGGGTAATTAGACGGTGAAAATTTAGCATAGTTATGATAAAGGAATTTTATTTCGAAAAACTGGGCAATTAAGCGGGTTCGACTGTATAACGCGATTCAGGACGATCGCGTAAAAATCCATTTTTTGTTATACTTTGAAAAACTATCGAAGCTATGCTTTAAGCTTATTCATCCGGAAACCGATTCATTACAACGATCCACGTCAGCTGGTTTCTTATGTTGCGCAATTGCCGTTATTAGACTACTTTTTTGGCTTCTTTCTAATCGTTTTTAACATCACCCACCTTACCTAATGTCCGAGCGATTAACGTTTTGGTTTTCCCTTCTCTCCACACCCCCACAGATTGGACCTGGAGCGGTTGGGGAAATCGGTGGTCCAAAGCCCGGTGACCATGTGCCCTCCTCTCATCGTGCACGAATGAGTCTCACTCTTAGTGATCTGAGATCTCTCTATCATCAACAGCTCATTCGACAACACCGAGCCAGCCTGCACCTGCCAAGCCTATGGGAACGTGCACACGCATCAAGTTTGACAGAAACGCGAGCGCTTTCCCACACATGGATCACCGCTGTGCTACCGCAAACGCGGGAAATTCATCAAATGGTGCGGTTGCCTTCCGTACAATTCGATCACTTCACTTATTGGTACCATGTCTACTGAAACACTGTTTCCTGTAGATTTTAGTACCCTAACCCCACTACGCGACTTTGTACTACCAGGCTGAGCAGATTTCCTTTTTAGCGAACATTTAACCCCAAGCACCCTCTCCCGGTTCCTAATAGTTGTGTTTATTTCTTCCTATTTTAGGGACTGAGCCTCACCTTTGTCTGTCCGACCAGCAACCGCGATGACAGTGCGAAAGTCGTTGCTCGATTTCTACATCGGTGTGAATGATCAGTTTTGTGTGTCCAGTCTTCTGATTCCACATCAACGAACGTTGGGTGTGGATGCCAAACCGCATCCGAGCTTAGTGGAAGCACACAGATTTGCTGAAACATGTCATTTAAGTTCACCCATATGCTTGGGAGATGCAGCTTTGTCTCGCTCGATGCAGTTAAAGGAATCTGTATTGCCTGATCCAGCACATAGAATGTGCGAAGCAAACCCCCGATTGGCCGAATGCCCGTGCCATATAGGGAAGATTGTACGCTGTAGATTAACACCTTAAAACACTTAACCTTCTTGTGCTTTTCGAGCTTCCTTTAACTCATGAGTCGCAAGTTCTCCGCAAACATATGTCATTAGCCGTATGCTCTCGGATGAGGTATTAATAACGAACAGTGCCCTAGATCTCACTTGCCCGAATTTGTTGATCCTTCTTTTTCTGTCATCCTTCTCTGGTTTGTGAGGTATCCTATTTATGATGGTAGTTCACGTGCTTTCGGTTAAATCACCACATGCATTCCGTTTGCGAATGGGTTGAGTTGTGTCACCCGACTTTTTCTATCCTAGTCAGTCATTCTATTGGCAGCCCCACCGTTTCTCTGTTTACTCCTGCTTCCAACCTGACTTCATTTGACCTACTACAAGGCTCTTCAAAAGCCATTATCTAGCCTGGCTTTGACAATTCCATAAACAATCCAGTTAACCAAGAAGACAGTCCAATGTCATCCCCCAACTGCTGCAACTGTTCTTAATACTTGCATATCACAAGCTTTTAATTAGTCGGCTCATCCTTACATTCATCTATGTCACCTGTTGCAGTCATTTACGGCTTCGCTCGAGCCGAAACTCTGGATGTATATGGACACTGGTTACGACCATCTCGATGGCGGCGCACACCGCAAACTATCATGTGCCGACAACAAATTTTCACCCTCTCCAGTGGATCTCGATTGTTACAATAAGAATACGACGGAGTCTCTGTCATCAGCCGAGTCGCCGGAGTCGTCACCTGACTTCACACACGCCTCAAAAGTTGATCCAGCTCTTGCCGGAGTTGTTTCCCGGTGGCAGGCGAGTGCAGTTTGGTTATGTGATCCCACTAGTGATACACATACCGGATCCGACCCGGAGCATTGCATTGCGATCGGCGACTACAGCTCACCTTTGACATCCGTCGGCCAGTCTCCTACGCGGCCCCAAATCTACAAGACAAGAAGCGCCGATTTGGACAGTCTTACCACATTGGACACTGGAATAGTGGCGCGAAGACCACGCTCTTGCGAATTTGCAGCCAAGGTCAGTCTGTTATACTGAAAGTGCTTTGGGGAGTAATGTAAATCCTAATATTTTCACTCCGTAGGCCTTGCATCACAATCTGCTGGGAGCACCACTTCCATGACCCAGTAAGCATCCTATCCTCGGGTATCGCTTACTAATTGGTCAATACAATTAGGTATATAATGAAAAGGTACCATGATGCACACTCTGTATCACAACACCACAAGAGATAGAACACAGAAGCGAATTCATGTGCACTCCTTCAATAAAAGCACTCACGCGAGAAGACTTTTGCCTCTCCATATGCCCTTCGGTGACAGCTGACCACATGCGTCCATTAGGTTATTCACAGTGGCTCCCTGTATGCATCCGTCGGAACCCACAGTCGTCAATTGCTTGGTTCTACAATACCCGACTTTATTCCTACACTTTGGCTTTCTTGTATGCCTTGGTTCCGTCTTCGAAACCGTAGGGATCAAAGCAAGATTTGTGAACACAGTAGCTGAAACAAAACCAAAAGCAACAGAACACGCCTTGCTGATAGCTCGGATCTTGTCTTTTGGCAAGTATCATGTACAGTGCATCGATCATGTAGCTGAGATCAGTTCACCAATGAGTGCGTGAGCAATGCACAGACCACACACACGTATATGTGGACAACCAATGCTGGACGTGTGAACTTAGTCTGCACTAACCCTGAAATCCGACAGCTTGACCTCCGCTCTTTGGCTTTAATATTTGTCGGTTCGTGGGGTAGCTTAACGTGAACCGGACCGTCCTCACGAAGTTGTCGATCTGACAACTTTCGGTCACACCTCGCTTTAGATTGTTCTTAAAATACCTTAACACGTGTTCTGTATCCAAAGGAAAGTACATCTGGTCGCGTCTGGACTGTTGCTCATCTTTCTACTGGATGTGAAGGAATAAACACAGGTAGCTGTGCTGTTTCATTTGAAATGAAGGGGGGCTGTTTCTATACTACATTTTTACGCTATTTTCGCTAGTCCATTTGAAGCTTGGTGGTAAGCAGGGGTTTGGACGTGTCTGATGCCGTTGGCTTTGAGGTACTCTTGATACCGGTGGATACATAGCCGATGTTTATCGTTAATGTCCGTGTCATACCGAATGTACCGAAACACGTCCGCATGCAGGAAACAGTTGTCCCCAAAGTGGCGTGTGTCAAATGAAGTACCCCAATCCAGTTATAAATAAATAAATACATTCTTTATTCTCGGATAATAAGAGACACGCCTACATAGGTAAAGGTACAACTAAATGTCAGTGAGCGTATAAAAATGGTGCAAGTTAGCCATGAACATCGGAGTTATCAATTCGTACATATATGTGGCCGTGCAGGTGTGTAGTTGTTATTCAGGTTTGAACATGTGCCGCTGCTTTTGTGATTGATAGCGTTTATAGCGTGAGAAGAGTTGAGTGACGTCCGTGCTGGGATTGTGGTTGGCTGCGTAACCATTGGGCCGTGACTTTATTTGGAGGCTAGTCACATCCGCCTCGTCGCAGTGTTTTTAAGCAGACATTAGTGGCCTTTTATAGGGAGAACCCTTGTCATGCGAAAACCTACCACGTCCTGGAGCACTGTCGCCAAACATTTGCTGGAATGGGGTAGACCCGAATCACCCAGCTGGTGCCACGGGTAAGTCCTAGTTACGTTGTCGGTTAAGGAGCCTGTGATTGTTGGCAAGCCGTAAGTGAGCGATTGGACGCTTGACAGTCAGGGTCAGAAGTTGGGTAGTCATGGATTGTTTCAGGTATGTAGCTGTAATCTTTTTTTCAACAGTTTTTTAACGCAGGCGACAGCTGTTCCAATCCGCTGATATGGGTATCCAGTTCCAGTTGACCAGTGATAGTAGACCAGGAAGAAGGTGAGTGTGTTGGAGGTCCAATATGATTCACATTTGTGTTTGTAGATTCCTTTGGTCGCAGACCCAAAGGCCAAGTGTGGCTCCACGGTAAGTTCCTGAGGATATCGTCAGACCTCGGGGAAGAGAAGAGAGAAAGAGAGCATCTTCCCATCAAGCGAATCAAACTAGTCAGCATGTGTGCACCCCTATGATTTGTTTAGCTATTTCCATTAACTCATTGGAACGAGCGAAGCGTTGCTTTGTGTGCTTTGACATGTTTCACAGTGTCTGATCAATTTTCGGTGTAGCTGTCGGTTAGGCGCCACCATTGATAAGACCAGGCTGAGTACTGTACGTCGGATAAAGTAAGGTTCCAGGTTCACAGGTTCCAGGTCACATTTATCGAGCCATCCTTGGAAGACCACATGCTTACTCTTACAAAGTGGCACAGCACGCTCTGCTGACGGCGGATGTTCGTGTTCAATTCCGGCTCTGGTCAAATGTTGAGGCAAACGGACTGATTCAACCGGCTCCAATGCACAATCGGGTAAATGAATCGACGTTAGCCGGCTTGAAACCTCCGCAATTCTATTTGCTTTTCCAGGAACATGCACATGCAATGTGGTAATATGTGAAATCAAGTAAGCCCAAGCCAGACCAAGTCAAAATAAGGTTTGTCCACCTTTGCGGCGCATTTTCATCACTTCATACTAAGACTGTAGAACATAGTAAAGCAATACATCAGTTGTAAAGTAAAATCGGACAACAATAACACGATAAAGGTACCACTTCAATCGACCATACGGGCACGCACGCGGTGCTTGATTTCTAGTGGATGCCTGGATGAAGTTTGTTAGTAAGTTTAGTGATCTGATCACATCCGAATCAGAAACTAGACCTTTTCGTTCTATCACAGTATCATTATCAATTCAGAGCAGAACTCGATAACCCATAGCGGTAAGAGACGCGATGTGTCATGCTTACAGGGCAAATTCTAGTCCTGGTAACTGGGGCAACTATGTCGTGCATCGTAATCACTGCGTCACACTTGTCCACGAGGACAAATTACTGCGCCAACGGAGCCTAGTGGTAATGAAAAGCCACTGTGCAAACAGTTGAACAGTCTCCGGAAAGTGAAGCTTAGAGTGCCCCCACCCATCTCAGAAAACGAATGTGCTCAAACCGCCGAGTATGCGTCTAACGATCTAGGACCACAGTATGTGTCAACATTCCGACTTGTCACTAGCATGTATCACGTATCTGTCCTATTCCCCCAGACGCCAATATTCACAGATGTCACTTTTATTACACCGGTTGTTTGGCAGAAGCTGCTATCGTTGCGCACCCCTTGTTCCTCAGGATTTGACAGCATTCACCCGTAAGCACTGAGAATGTCAGTTGCCAGGATAGTCGAACCATTATCCCGGATTCTTTCGAAAATGTTTAGATTAATAGTACATCACGAACATAAGGAATCAGTGTATGATTACCCCGATATTTAAGGGAGGTAGCCGTTCAGGACCTGACAAATATTGCCCAGTGATACTCCTCCCAGTGCGCCCAAACTTGATGAGTTATCTCATTGCTGCCCGAGCAGCACGGCTTCCGTCAACTTCGTTCATGTGCTACCAACCTACTGATTGCGCGTGACGATTGGACCGAAACATCGGATGACGGGACCGGAACCGATGTCATCTGTCTCGATCTTTCTGAAGTCTTCGATCGCTTAGATCACCGAACCTTACTCCAAAAGCTGCATACATACGGAATTGGGTACGCTATCCTAGGATGAATCGGAAATTTCCCTCTACAGCGGTGGTTACAAGTGCAGGTTCGGGGATCTTTGTCCGATCCTATTGAGGTGGACTGCGGTGTTCCACAAATATCAGTGTTGGGACCACGCTTATTCTTGGTCCCCATCAACAACTTTTTGCGTATCATCGAGTCGACTTTCTTGCGTTTACTGATGATATCTGTATAGGACGGTGGATCAGTAATAAGTAAGACTACGATGTGCTGCAACGGGACCTTGACCGTGCTTTTGAATGCTCGAAGACAAAGGTACCTTCGTTCAACGCCGGTGATTGTAAGATAATGCATGTACGCCACAACCCCAATAACACATATAAACGTGATCTTCAAAATCGCTTCCTAGGAGCATCTCCTTGGTGTGGTGATGTAAGACGATCTCGACTTTTTGGTTATATCCTTCAAGTATCCAAAGCGTCGGACCATTATGTTGATTACACGCACGCGGCTTTCGGGCGCTTCGATTCTTCGATATCCCCTCAAATGCCCAACGCATATGTGAGGCCCCATGTAGGGTAAGCGACTCAGACCGAGCAACATTAGTGAGAGCTCAGATAGCGGTTCCATAAGGTAGATTGAATGCTGCGAAGCTTTGATTTCATACAGTAAAAACTCTCCCTTGGCCTAGTTATACAAACGACACCGATGAACGTTATAGCTAGTGGAATGAAAATATGCAGCACACGAAGCGGCTGCAGGTTACGGACCCAACGAACACCAAGCAAGATGGCGGAGCTCGACTCAAACAATGGAACTCAAATTACCGTTCACCAATCCGCACCGATCACCCAAGTGTACAATGAAATAGGAATTTTGGTCAGAAATTTACACAGGCAAACAGAAGAAATCTCCTGACTGTTACAAGCCCTGGCTAAAACGCAATCTGGCTACATCAGAAACCCCTCAACAAAGTTCAGCCAAAAATGCGAAGAGATTCTGCCACTTGCCATATAAATTGCGACTAAAAGTCATAGGAGTGTACAGCAGAACTTATCGGCGTCTACGGGGTGACCTCATTCCGGCGTATCAGAAGTTGAAAGACCCTAGTCACTTTTGTCCTCTACCTTAAATCAAGTCAAAGTCAAGGTAAGTGTTATACACCCATGTGGGAGCAATTTCAGCACTTTACGTTAACACTGCGGACATACTACAACATAGAACCGGTGGGCAAATGATGTGAAATGACACGAGAAACAGTTCCTTTTCAAGCAAACAAACGTTCTGTCATTGGTTGCATCATCAGTTTTGGGCTGACCAATAAGCGAGTCGGTTAACACAAGAGAATTGCAGTACAAAGTGGTACGAACAAAATAAAACTTTCAATTTTGACCGCTTGGAACAACTGGA